AGTTCGTGGATGACACTAAGCTGGTGGGAGAGGTAGATACGCTGGAGGGTAGGGATAGGGTCCAGAGTGACCTAGACAAATTGGAGGATTGGGCCAAAAGAAATCTGATGAGGTTCAACAAGGACAAGTGCAGCAGTCCTGCACTTAGGACGGAAGAATCCCATGCACTGCTACAGACTGGGGACGAACTGGCTGCAGAAAAGGAAGTGGGGATTACAGTGGATGAGAAGCTGGATATGAGTCAGCAGTGTGCTCTTGTTGCCAAGAGGGCTAACGGCATATTGGGCTGCATTAGTAGGAGCATTGCCAGCAGATCGAGGGAGGTGATTATTCCCTTCTATTCGGCACTGGTGAGGCCACATCTGGAGTATTGCATCCAGCTTTTGACCCCCCACTACAGAAAGGATGTGGACAAATTGGAGAGAGTCCAGCGGAGGGCAATGAAAATGATTAGGGAGCTGGGGCACATGACTTACGAGGAGAGGCTGAGGGAACTAGGCTTGTTTAGTTTGCAGAAGAGAAGCGGGGGGGATTTGATAGCAGCCTTCAACTACCTGAAGGGTGGTTCCAAAGAGGATGGAGCTCGGCTGTTCCTCAGTGGTGGCAGATGACAGAACAAGGAGCAATGGTCTCAAGTTGCAGTGTGGGAGGTCTAGGTTGGATATTAGGAAACACTATTTCACTAGGAGGGTGGTGAAGCACTGGAATGGGTTACCTAGGAAGGTGGTGGAGGCTAGAGGTTTTTAAGGCCTGGCTTAACAAAGCCCTGGCTGGGATGATTTAGTTGGGTATTGGTCCTGCTTTGAGCAGGGGGTTGGACTAGATGACCTCCTGAGGTCTCTTCCAACCCTAATCTTCTATGATTATTAGGTCATAAATAAATGCAGCTATTTACAAGGGTCATCCATATTATCCCACCGTGTTCAAGCCTCTAATAGAAAGAAAGGGGTGGATGCGTCATGGCAATAGAGCTGGACTAAGGAGCGGATTCTGCAGTCTTTTCTAAGGTAGACATGGCAACTTTCCATTGACACAAGAGGAAGAATGATTTTGTGCTAACCACATTGGCCCAAGTTTAAGGAGATGCGGGTTCAATTCTTTCAGTCCACAGATTTCCTGTGTGATCTTTGGCCCAAGTGATTTACTCTCCCTCTGCCTCAACTGGTAATGGTGGTAATAATGTTTACTGACATCAGAATGGGGTCTTATAAGAACCTAGACAGATTGAGGGTACTCACCCTGTGGTAGGATCAGGCCCCTAAAAGAGAAGTTCCACTTTCTTTGCAAACACAATATGCTTAAGTCACCAACGCTCCTCTGCTATTCCTAGGAGGGCTGCTACTGTCCTTTAGCATGGATGGTCCGAGAGCCTCAGAGATCAGCCAGGCTGTAGAGAATTTGACTTATTTCACACCTTTTCCTACTCCTGCGGGATCTTGTTAGTGACTCACATTTGCATCATTTAAACTGCTTAAACTTTGCTTGCAAAGTATAAAATGAATCAAAGCCTCAAAAGCAGCAGCAAGTCGGAACAAACCAGCCCTAAGTTAACCCAACGTGTTTAACTCATTAGTCAAACAACTCTCTGCTTTTCCATTAGCTAAGCTAGAGCTCTAGATTTTATGATTAATATCGGAAGCATCCCCGAGCGAGATGACCTCTGTCTAGACTGATGCATGTTTTCCTCCAGCCTCTGTGCTGATAATTCCCGGGTTGCTACGGGGAAGCAAGCATCTGCCAAAGCTATCTCTGATATTCCAGGATTTTGTATATACTCCCCTATAAACAATGGTGCCATTGAGCTGGTCACTGAGAGATCCCTGTTAGGATACGAAAGGCCTCATTTCCCTTCTTACTCATTTATGGGAAGCTGCTAAGGGGATGGTGATGGGAAATGGGAGAAAGCCACTGTAGCAATTCCTCGCGCATCTGCGACGCCTTTCACAAGACCGTCTCAAAGCTCTTTACGCGTTACCCAGTTGAAGCAGCCCCGTGAGGTAGGTCAATAGTGTCGGGTGGGAAAACTGAGATACACAGATGCTAAATGGCTTTACCCAAGGCCACAGCTCGTTAGTGGCTGAGCCAGAACTCTTGGTCCTCTGCTCTAACCACTGAACTAGCACTCAAAAAAAAATTTGTATTTTTCTCCTTTTTCACAAGGCCACCAATGTATTTCCCCTCTGTGATTCTGCTGCAAAGCAGAGGGTGGCTAGGGCTTCTGGCACGGGGTTTTCTTTCCACTCAGGTGTGAATGCCAATGCTTATGCCACTCATGCTAGGAGAGTGTGGGCCTATGTCCTCCTCTCGTGGCTGGTCCACACAAAAGGTTTATGAGTCTGCCACAGTAACCATCTTAGGAGGCTAAGTCCTTAAGCTCAAGCAGTAGAGGCCCCTGCTTTGGCAGTGAAGGTCATGGATTCAAACCCCACAGTCTGCTCAAACAGGGGCAGCTACATAGCGCCATCCAATGTGGAGCCTGAACCCATGAGCCTGGCAATAAGAGTCATGGACCATAAATTCACTCAGGCTACGTCTTCACTACCCGCCGATCCGGCGGGTAGCAATCGGTCTATCGGGGATCGACTTACCGCGTCTAGTGAAGAAGCGATAAAATCGATCCCTGATGGCTCTACCGTCGACTCCGGAAATCTACCGCGGCAAGAGGCGGAAGCGGAGTCAACGGCGGCGCAGCAGCGGTCAACTTGCCGCCGTCCTCACAGCCAGGTAAGTCGACCTAAAATATGCCACTTCAGCTACGCTATTCACGTAGCTGAAGTTGCGTATCTTAGGTCGACCCCCCGCTGTAGTGTAGAACTAGCTTCAGACAGTGACTCGGAACATCAGACAGTTTGAAGAGTGCCCAGGTGAGAGTCTTCCACCATCTCCTTCATCCTGGAGAGCTTTCCCCCTCCTTCACAGACTCATCCCCATGCCACAACAGCCACTACATTTGCAGTTCTGTGACCAGCTTCTCAGGTGACGGATTCCATAATGCAAATGGCACCCTCTTCCTTCTAATGGCCGAGATCCTCTCTCTCCCCCCACCCCCACCCCCGTCGACACCACACACATACTGGGAGGATCTGAGATTACTACAGAACTAGTGCGTGTGGTGCCCCCACTAGGCCATGCCCTACGCATCCTTAAACAGGGAATGCTATATTTCTTCACCATCTGCATTATATTTACCATCCTCCAATGGAGCACTCTGTAGGAACCCAATGTTAAAAGGTTATTGCTAGTTATTCTACAGCCAACAATCCTTTGAATAATCTTGTTTTAAAAGTGCATTAAAAAAAACCCATATCCACTATTGTAAAACGTGTCCGCAGCCAAGCCAGGACTTAGCCACAGAAACCACTCTGTGGTGTCTCAGATACCACAGATTCCCCCTTATACTTAGGCTAGGATAGAACTGTGGTAATTGGATGGGATCTGCTGGCAAATGATGACGAAGGGTGATCTCTTTATTTGCATATTAAAACACTACAGCACTGTAAAGAGAGCAACTTTGCACGGAGTCAGCACTAGTCGTTTGCAACCTGAAGACACTCAGAAATCCAAGATGGACAGAATTATTTGCTCACCTCGCTCACTCTCTTTCCACTACAGGATTCTTCCTGGCAGTTTATTCTCAAGGAGGCTGTCAAGTCTAGTTTTAAAATGACTCAAGCGACAGAGCTTCCACCATTTCCCATGGGAAACTATTCCACAGCCTAATAGCCTAACATCCCAGTTAAGAACTTTTTCCGGATGTCCTGCCTACACTTGTTAAATTTCCTCCCAGCACTCCTAACACTAATCCTCAACTCCTTCAGACACTCCGCAGAGTTATCACAGCCCCTCTCATCATCCTTTAGCCAAGCGGCACATAAACAGTTCTTTAAATATTGCCTTATAAGTCAATCCACTCAAACCCACAACTCTCGGAATCTGCTCATGTCCGTGGACAACTCTGTTGTACCCAAATGTGACCATAAGACCCCAAAGAGAAGCCACATCACAACTATAGAAAATGGCACCCAATAATTCATAGCATTTAACAAATAAGGAATTCATCTAATTACAAGGACAGTATCACACACGTTGTGTCTTTTGGATTTGATTCGCACTAATATTAAAGCATAATAATTTTTTACTCTTGTAAAAGGTGATCCACAAAGGAAAAATAACTGGGTTTGTACCTTCTCATATACTACAAAAGAAATTCTAAAAATGTTTGTTTAAAAATATCAACATGTATCTTTATTTTATTGCTGACAAAAAAAATCATGTCTAAGAAAACACCCTGGAATATTTGCTTGCTGTTATAGCTGGATTGTATATATTCTTAAGACAGCAAGTAGGACTCATGCAGAGCTATTTGCCATTAAATATATTCCACCCTGGAATCAGCTGTATTTTAGTACTGATAGAGGTGATTCTAGTAAACAGTGTATAGTTTGTAAAGAGCCTTGTGATTCTTCAGGCTGAAAAGGTACTATATGTTATTGTTCTCTATTATTTATATTACAGAAGCAGCTAGATGTCTCAAATGAGATCAGTGCCACATCATGCTAGATGCTGACAGTCTCTGCCTCTAGGCGCTTCGGTCTCAATAGACAAGACAGACAAAAGGGTGATAGAAACTGTTATTATCCCCATTTCACAGAGGTGGAGCTGTAACATATAACATCTTATATCGTAACGTGTACATTAAGTCTAAGTAGATAAGAAAAGAGCCATCCATAGGTCAAGTCACGAAAGCATCGTGCAGTGCTGTTAAATACCAGATAGGATCATTTCCTCAAACCCAGCACGTGACATGGGCTTCAATCGAAACGCCAGCTCTGAACATCTCATGCACTAGGAAAGTTTGAGCATGGATCCGAATGCTACAGGTTGAGCCAGTCTCTACCAACAATTTCATCACTTTGGCAGATACAGCGCCTGATCCAGACACCATGGGAAGACTTCCATTGGGCATTGGATCAGTTCCTTCAAGTTATAAGTGCATTTACCTCTATTTGGTTGAGGAACGGCTTGTCAAACTTGAAGCCAGGGATCCTCTTTTCACTGCAGACGACTCCCACGTCTTCGGTGTGTTTGCAGTCTGTGACGCCCCAGCCGTTTGTGGTACATGCTGCCAGCGTCACCTCTTTGCCAGTACAGTGGACATTGTCCATCCAGATTTTGCCTGAGGAGGAAAGAATTGAAAGACTTGAGACACCAGTGAGCAAACTGCAGAGATGGTAAATCTAGATTCACTAATAATTGATCTAAAATGAGCCTGACACACCAGTTCTGCTAAGTGTGTGTTCCCCACGGTAAATCCTGTCAAAGGAAGGTCTAAAATCTTTACTTAAACTGAGAAAACAGCTAAGTTAATTCAGTCTATCCAGGCCTGTGCAGGACCCACCTCAGGTATTTATAAACCAGAAACACAACGGTGAAGTTGAATAAGGTACACATTTAGGGTTAGATCCTGAGCTGGTGTAAATCAGCATCGCTCCATTGAAGTTAATGGAGCTACACCAATTTGAGGATCTGTTCTTCAATGTCCAATAGCAACCATGTCTGCATTAAGAGACACAAGCCAAGAATTCCCAAACTGACTAATGAGTTGGGGGCCCCAAGTGGAGACACCTTATAGGGGCCTGATTTTCTGACAGTGCTGAGCACCCACCCTCTGAAAATCAGCTCCTTTTAATGCGTCTCAGGTCGGGAATCCAAAAATCAAGTCAAATTTTCAAATCTTCCCCACCTTAGGTACTGTAAAAGCTTAATTTAAAACATGAAGCATGTAGTGTAGTCGTTTCAGATAGATACATGAAATCACAGTGATGCTGTGCTCAGAGAGTTCTGCGCTTTGCACATTGTATCCGTAATGAGTGTACGCCAGGCACCGTGTCTCGCTGCAGATAGTCCTGTTTCGCAATGTGGAACAAAATCCTTTTTTCTTGCGTACCATCCCCTCTACCATTTGCATCCGCACATAAAGGAAAGGCAGGCAAAAGTGATTTTAATCAAACTTCCTCATGGTAAAAGCTAGCTTCCCTTGATGACGGCCACTTCAGAGCGTCTGGTGTCAGTAGGTCCCTTCGGCTCAGTTGATTAGAGCATGGCTTCCAATTGCACATGCCATGAATCAGTTGTCTACATCCAGCCTCTTGCATCCTCTCTAATATGTCAAATCCTGATTAAACTTCCTTTTGGAGAGAACTCTGAGTTTTGATTGAATCGGGTCATTTTTTAAATGTGTATTTTGGCCCAAATTTCAATGGGTGCCTAATGACTTGGGAGGCCTGGAATTCCAGGTGACAACTTGAAACACCTTAACAAGGCCGGACTCTCAGGCTAGGTCTACACTACCCGCCTGAATCGGCGGGTAGAAATCGACCTCTCGGGGATCGATTTATCGCGTCCCGTCGGGACGCGACAATCAATCCCCGAATCGACGCTCTTACTCCACCAGCGAAGGTGGGAGTAAGCGCCGTCGACAGGAAGCCGCAGAGGTCGATTTTGCCACCGTCCCTACAGCGGGGTAAATCGGCTGCGATACGTTGAATTCAGCTACGCTATTCGAGTAGCTGAATTTGCGTATCTTAAATCGACCCCCCCCTGTAGTGAAGACGTAGCCTCAGACAGCGCTGAGCCCTGACTTTCTGAAAAATGAGGCCTCCCTTAAGGCATCAACAAGTTGGACACCTAAAATCACAACCCACATCTCAACACCATGGCCACCCTCTCCCTGCAACAGCTGATGAGGGTGAGAAAACTTACAGCATCACATGGAATCTACCATCCCCACTCTGGCCTCTGTATAGTGCCCATCCCTGGAGTCTTTAAGGGGCTGATTTCAGAAGCACTGACCATTTGCAGCCCCTCGGGACTTCAAGGGGAGCTGTGGGCCTCTGAAATAAAAATCAAGTCCTGCATGCTTAACCCACGTGTCAGACCACAGGGGGTGTCCCACATTTGGGGAATCAGAAAGAGATTCCCCCTCCCCCAGCTGTAACAATCCATTCTGACACCTTTGAAAGTGAGATGTATAGGACCTCCTAGGCGTCAGTGCTACCATGTTCTATACGAGGGATCTGAACTGTTTTCCCAGGCCCTGTGCCAAGCCTGGGAATGGCCATGGTGCAATGCAACTCTCACGGTGGTCACACGGAAGGAATCCCCTCCTCTTCCAGTTTTGAGGCTGCTACTGAAAACACCAGGGCAGCCTCTGAAACTGCTGCAGTCCCTCCTCTGTCTCTCTAACTAGGTTCCTATATATCCCCCATCGTCATAGCTTCAGAGAGTGTGATTACACCACAACCAAACACCTGTGGCTGGCCCGTGTCAGCTGACTTGGACTTATGGGGCTATAAAATTGCAGGGCAGATGTTCAGGCTCCAGCCCAACCCCAATGGCAATTTTATAGCCCCATGAGCCCGAGTCAGATGACACAGGGCCACTGTGGGTGTTTGATTGCAGTGCATGTAAGCCCAAGGTTCGAACTCAGACTCATGCCTAACCGCCTTCCATCTACACACAAGTCACACTGACCCAGGGTTCCAGGACCCCATGGGGGTGGAAGGGCCAAGCCTCAGTCAAGCTGGGATCCAGGATTCAAGCCCCATGTCTTCAATGTAGATGCAGCCACAACAGACACATGCTCTAGGAGTCTGCCAGAAGCATCCCACAGGCAGACTTTCTTTGTCCTCTGGACAGTCAAGTTTGGTGGATAGTCAAGTTTCCCCCCCCCCCCCCGCCCCCCGCGCCCTGCATCATGAACAAAGGGCTAGAGTGGCCACATTTTGGGTGGGCGCTAGGAAGTCTGGGATATGGTTGGTTGGACTCGGGCCTGCATGACACCATAACCCCAGGTTGGGACCCAGGCTTCAACAATTCCTAGCCAGGGGTTACAAATGATGTAAATGCTCATGCCAAAGCTTAACAAAGCCAGGATCTGATAACTTGAGTTCTAACAACCCCAGGCTCACATTGCAATGTAGACATACCCTGAGCCCATAGTGCCTCATACAGCTGCTTTATTACATTTGGCTGGTTGATTCACCATATCCTAGATCCATCAACCATGCTCCTCCTCTCTTCCAGACCAAGCCACACTCAGATCCACCCCCAGCCCACAGCAATGCAGAAATTGCCCTGGTGAATCCCAACTCCACGGCATGGGCTCCCTGCGGCACGCAGAGAAAGAGCACTCACTCTAAGTGAATCAGAGGGCAATGTTTTGTTTAAAATGTCACGGCCTCTTCCTTGGAAATCTCCTGCTGGACCGTGGGAGCCAAGATCCACAATGTGGGACAACATTTGAGGTCTCAAATTTCTCTCAAGTCAATTTTAAGCCCTGCTTGCTTTTTACGGGTAATTTTATAGGTGTGGGTGTTAAAGAATGGTGTTAAAAAACTACGGACCAAATTCATCTCCAGTGTAACTGCAGGGAGTGAATGGAGTTGCATTTAGCGTGAACCTGGCTCTATGCTTCATGCTACCAATTATAAAATATTCAGTAGGCAAACATTTACTTATGGTAGATAAGACAATTAAACATATAGTTATTGAGGTTTATGGAGCTACTAAACCCCAAATATGCTTTTAATAATCAATTCCTACATATAACAAACCAATATTTGCCTTCCTACATCTTAATTCAATGCATATTTGGAAGGCCCAATCTGAAGTGCGATCGGGTTGATGTCTCGTCTGTAACAGTCCACTTTACAGCCAAGCCATCTGTATGCAATATCAAGGAGGACAAAAAATAAACACAGTTTCATGTAAGGTTCGGCCTGATGAGAACTCTTCGCCTGCCAGAGCTAGTATGTTAGTTTCCTGAATGATTACTATAAAGTGTGTTTAATTACATAATTAGAAATGCAGGCTGGGGGTCTCACAGGCTAGTCCAGAAGCCACTCAAGGCAAACTGCTGCACTCGGCAAAATTTCAGTCTGCCGCCCGCTTCCTACCAGTAATAGACAGTCCCTTATAATCTGAAGAGTCAAGACACAGGGCGGGAAGAAGGAAGGACTATTATCCCCATTCCACAGATGATGAAACAAGAGACACAGATTAAGTGACTTGAAGAAGGTCGTACACTCGTAGACCACCAGATCACATCATCTGACCTCCCAAATATCACAGGCCACTGACGCCATCCAGCTCCTGCACACTAAACCTGACAACTGAAATTAGACCAAAGAAACTGAGACCCCCGGGAGACTAGACTATGATGTCCCACAGGCGGAGAATATGAGGGAACTGAGGTGCACCAGTGCCTAAGAGCCCCACAATGGCAGGGAAATGGTTAAGTGAGAGATGCCCAAAGAACCCTGGCAAGTGACCTGCACCCATACGCTGCAGAGGGAGGCAACCCTCCCCCTCCGCCCCCCCAAAAGGTCACTGCCAAACTGAGCTGGGGGAAAATTCCTTCCTGGCCTCACCTATGGCAATCAGTTAGACTCTGAGCAGGTGAGCAAGAACCAACCAGCCAAGCTCCTGAGAGAGAAAGCTCAGTGTCCTGGCCCACCCTGTCCAGTGTCCAATCTCCAGCCATGGCCATCCATGATACTACAGAGAAAGGAGATCAGCGACAACCACGACCCCTGAATAGACTTGGGGGAAAATATCCCTTCCTGACCCCTGTAGGCTGCTGGCCAAAAAACCCTGAAGCATAAGCTTTTGGGAACATAAGCTATAAACCAGAAGTTAGCCCCAGGCCTGCTGAGCCCTGCCCCCTATCATCACAAGCTACCTTGAAAGGTCACAGAGGGGAGCCTGTGACAGCCAGAAATTAAACCCACATCTCTTGCATTCTAGTCTCATGCTTTAACCACAAGACTCCCACCCAGCCTCTCCCAATCTGAAATTTCTGGGTACCCTAAATCTCAGTTCCATTAGCACCAGCGGTGGTAACCTGGGAATGGGGTCTGAGTCACTTCCTCTTCTCCTAGAGGTGGCCCCCTCTAGGCCAGGGCTGAGCCACATCCTCAGTCTGTTGTGTTGACACATCAAGGGCTTTAATCTCCAGTTTGCTCAATCGGACCCCTCTCAATAGCACTAAACTCAACTCAGGCCTATCTACACTGACACTTAATTCTTGGCTAGCTGGGACGTAAATCAACCCCACGGTAGCCTGCCGTGCGCCAAGTGTCCTTGCAGACCCTGCTACCACGCACTAAAAGCTCTGTAGTGTGCTTCGATCTACTCCGCTTTGAAACAGGAACGGATTAAAGCACACTAGAGAACTGTTAGGGCACAGCAGCAGGGTCCACCCGGATACTGGAGTGCGCAACAGGCTAGCGCGGAACAGATGTACGCCCCAGCTTGCCATGAACGAAGCGTTCATGTAGACAAGCCCTTACGTTCATTTTGTTTCAATCATTTGCCACTGGAAACCCCACCACGGCATGGGCACGCACAGGAGGCCAAGGAAAGCAGAGTGAACGTAAACACAAGGTGGGCCGCAGAAACCGGGCAACTTTACCTTCTCCCTTTCCATACTTGGAGCTTGACACCCAGGACACAGCCTCCACGTAGCCCAGCTCTCTGCACACCACGTTAGCGGCGTGGATGGAGAAGTCGTCGTCACACACTGTGCCCCACTCCCCGTTGTAGAACATTTCCACCCGCCCCTCGTTGTGCTTCCGCTTCTGCCCGGCCAGCCGCAGCTGAATCTTGGGGACATTGGCCGGCTGCTGGGGGGCGTGGTATTCTGAAGGGGGTTGCTCAGGGTAGCCGGAATAATAGGGCCAGTGCTCATACTGGGCAAGGCCCAAATGGCTCAGACAGTTGAAGAAGAACAGCCCGATGAAAAAGTGGTTACGGTTGAAACTCAGGCATCTTCCCATTTTCAGCCCCCACGGTTCTCAGAGCCAGCTCCTCTCTTTAGCAGGTGCTGTTCAGTGCAGGTAGGATGCTGCGTGGGTTGGCTGAAATGAAAGAAAAATCTGTGTGAGAGGTAAAACATGATAACATGGGGACTTATTTTTCCTCTCTAACCAAGGGACCTGACCAATGGAAGGATGTGTCCAAGTTGCCCCCTCCTGGTGTTTTAGCGAAACGTTTCTGAAATCAAAGGTCTTGGGTTTGTTCCACAGGGCAGCGGAGACAAATGTCAGAACCTCAACATGGTGTGTAACAAAGAATTCCTATTCTCCAGCCAGCTCTAATCTGAAAACAATTCTTTATGGAACTGCATTTATAATGACTAAAGCAGACTAACCTATGCAACAGTCTGATTGAACAAGAGTTTCACCATTTTAATTCTGTGGCCATCTGAGCAAATGTACAATTAAAAAAAAAAGCCAAATCCATCCTTTAAATGGTGGAAAAATAGAGAGGAAACAAAATAAAATAATGTGGTCAAGAATGGAGAGATTTACATTGCAGCTTGAATTTTCCTGATTCCCAATATTATGACATACGGCATATTTCCATTACTGCACATCTGGCTTCATCTACACAGAATTATTGTATGCAGCCATGCACAGGAATCATTTTTAATGTAGATTTGTCTGACGTTCTCGGGCCTCTTGGTAATGTTATAGCTCAACTCCAGCCATAAGTCAACTAGATAGAAGTCCAGTGGTTAAACTACTTCTACACGCTTGCAGTGAGTGAAAGTTCAGAAACTGTTCACTTAAGGTAGGAGGAGTTATTTTCTGGTTAAGGAACTTGAGCCAGACGTGGTGCTGAACTGAATGTCAGTTCATTTCCTGCCCCAGCCCTCAGATATTCCACATTGTCATTCATGCAACCAGCACATGGAGCAGTCAGGGAGTACACGTGGAGGTTAGCGGCTGAATAGTTTCCAAATGAAGCAATGCCAGAGAGCAGTGGGAAAAAGCTCCCCAACTCCCCAAAGCAGTATCGTTCCCTGGCAGCAGCCAAAACACAGGGAAGGAGAGTCACCAATACAGACGTCTAGAATGGAAGATCGGTCAGTATGTGCTAGGTCTGCGCTACCCCAAAAGGTGACAAAGAGACACGGGCACAGGGAAACCTGGATAAAGTAGCCTTCCAAGTGGCTGAAGGAGGTTGTGTGATCTACTGGACCAGAAGCCAGAAAACTTGGGTCCTATTCCCAGTTCTGCCACCACACTGCTAAGTAGATCTGAGGCAAGTCACTTCCACCTCAGTTTCCCCTTAAGTAAACAGGGATGATGATACTGACTCTCCTTTTGTAAAGTGCTTTGAGACCTCTGGATGCAAAGTCTCTCTCTCTGAACCAAGTGCAAGTAACAAAGGTGGGTGCATTTGAAACATCCCTATTCGTGAATGGCACAGTGGGGTCGTTAACTATGGTTCAAACAAAACTGGTTCGGGGAAACTAGGGGGAATAAAGCGCTACAAAGTGCTGGGTTTGGGCCAAACCTTGATCTTGTTAACATCATGGATTCCCATGAACTTCACTGGACTAAGATTGATTTCTAGGCTGTTGTACAGGATTCATCACTGCGGTAACTATACACCTCAACACCCCTTGAGGCCAGGAAGCATTATCCCCATTTCACAGATCAGGAACTGAGGCACAGAGAGAAAAGCAACTTGCCCACAGTCACACATGGTGTCTGTGGCAGAGCTGGGAGTAGAACCCAGATTCCAGAGTCCCAGGACAACCCCTCAAGCACATGACTTGTCTTTTCTTCTGACAATTCATTAAGGGGGTTTGCCAATGAAAGTAGAGTGAAATATGCGTTATGATGGAACTTAATGTGCCTTTTTTTGCATATACGAAAGGCTCATGGGGACCAGATGCTGCATAAATCACTCCCAGCACATATCCACTGCTTTCAGCAGAGTTATGTTGGGACAGCACTGGATGGCCAGGTGAATTATGAGTTTGGTTTTTGTTCTTGGCTCCTGCCAAAACATCTGGTATAAACAGCTACCACAGCCCACATGCTGACGTGAGCCAATAAGGCAAATCTTAATGCCTCAAGTTCACACAGGCAGTCGGTTAGCTCAGTGATGGGTCCAGGACAAGAACATTTAAAGGAACAAATGGCAACTCTCTGAATTAGATAGGTTAAAAGCACAGTGGACAGACTTATGGCTGCATCTTCCAAAGCCACCAAAAACACCCTAGTGAGGAAAATATTCACAGCAAAAGGCTCATCCAATGCTATGGCTGAGATTTGCAAAGCCTTCACAGGGATTGGGACTCCCCTGAATCTCAGTGGGAACAGAGCATTTTAAATTCCCCAGGCAACTGAAAATCTCACTCCATGTTCATAAGATGCTCCATTTGTGCCAGCACTGTTTAATACCTTTGTACTTTGGCAAACCACTCTCTTAAGCACTCTGATCTCCCTCTAAAGATCTCAAAACACATTAATGATTTAAGCCTCACCCCCATGTGGGGTAGGTAGGTCTCCCCATTCAGGGAAAACTGAAGCACAGAACATTAATTTGCCCAAGAAGTCAGTGGAAGAGCCTGGAAAAGAATCCAGATCTCTGGACTTCCTGTTCTGTCAGGGCCGGCTCCAGGCACCAGCTTAACAAGCAGGTGCTTGGGGCGGCCAAGGGAG